GCATGGTTTAAAATCAAGAAGGGAGTGCATCAGGGTTGTATCCTTTCCCCATACTTATTCAATCTATATGCTGAACAAATAATCTGTGAGGCTGGACTATATGAAGAAAAATGTGGCATCAGGATTGGAGGAAGAATCACTAACAACCTGTGATATGCTGATGATACAACTTTGCTTGCTGAAAGTGAGGATGACTTGAAGTACTTATTGAAGAAGATTGAAGAATATAGTCTGCAGTATGGATTACACCTCAATATAAAGAAAACAAAAATCCTCACAACTGGACCTAATAAGCAGCATTATGATATATGGAGAAAAGATTGAGATTGTCAAAGACTTCACATTGCTTGGTTCTACAATCAACGCCAATGGAAGCCTCAGTCAGGACATCAGACGACATATAGCACTGGGAAAATTAGCTGCAAAGGACTTCTTTCAAGTGCTTAAGAGCAAAGATGCCTCCTTGAGGACTAAGGTGTGCCTGACACAAGTCATGGTATTTTTAGTCACTTCATATGCATGTGAGAGCTGGACAGTGAATAAGGAGGACCGAAGAAGAGTTGATGGTTTTGAAGGTTTTGGTGAAGAATGCTGAAAGTACCATGCGTGGACTGCCAAAAGAACTAACAGGTCTGTCCTGGAGGAAGTGCAGCCAGAATACTCCTTGGAGGCAAGAGTGGCCAGACTTCGTCTCACATTCTTTGGTCATGTTGTCGGAAAGGACCATTCCCTGGAGAAGGATGTCATGCTTGGTAAGATAGAGGATTGACAAAAGAGGGGAAGGCCCTCAACAAGATGGACTGACACTGTGGCAGTGGCGATGGGCTCAAGTATAGCAAGAATCTTGGAGCTGGCTCAGGACCAGGTGGTGTTTCGTTCTGCTGTGCATAGGGTCGCTTTGAGTTGGAGATGACTTGATGACACCTAACAACAACAACAGCAATGAGTTGGAATCAAATTGATGGCAACTAGTTCTGATGTTTTGAATAGGGCCCCCCCAACTAGAAATAGAAATACTCTTTAGGTACAGATTAGGAAAACAAAGACTTAGAAAGAAATTGGAATTATTTGGTATCACCAGTTGATAAGCGGGAGCTCTGGTAGTGTAGTGCCTAAGGCACTTGACTGCTAACCAGAAGGCTGGCGGTTCAAAACCACCAGCCACTCTTCGGAAGGAAGGTTGGGCAATCTACTTCTGCGGTGATACCTCCTCAGAAACCCAAGGAGGGGTCACTGTGAGTCGAGTCCGATTCGATGGCACATAACAACAACAACAGCAGTTGACAAGCTGTTAATAAGACACCATCAGTGAGCAGTAGACATGTCAGTGCTTTTAAAGTCATTGTCACTATTGCTTATCTCTGACATTGACTGAGGAGCTAGTTGAAAGATTCTTGAAAAGTATACCAACTTTTCTCTATTTCTAATCTTCCTCACTAGAAAGGATAAGCTATGTTGATTATCTCTGAGGGTATATTTTAAAAGCTTAATTAAACTAACATTTAAATCATCCTTTAAAATGTGCTGGATGATTGTGCTTACACTAGCTTTCTTTTTACATATCCCAGGGGACCTCTTCAGACATGTAAATAAATCAATCAATAAGCAAGTGAGTATGGAGAGCTCACTACATGCTCAGTACAGAGGGTGAGTTAATAGCAATAATCTCATAGTAGGCAGATTGGTTTATTGTAGTGAAGTTTTGCCTATTTTTTTTTTTTTCTCTTATACCTTTACAGGCCAGAAGCAAGGCTTATAAAGACTTGCTGAAGGAAGAAGAGAACCGAAAATTACAAAAAATGAAGGAAGAACAACACCGGAAGGTATTCACAACGCCCTACCCAATCAAAATCAAACCCACTGCCATTGAGTCAATTCTGACTCATAATGAGCTCATAGGATAGAGTAGAACTGCAAGTCTGTAAATCT